GGAGGCGGTGACGACAAGGAGGGCGAGGGCCAGGACGACGAGCTTGAGAAAGCCCTTGGTTTTAGAGCGAGATAGGATAGAGAGAGGAGATGAGAGAGAGGATATGAGTGTTGTCTGAGGGATTGAGGGGAGGGGATAATGATATTTTGGGGATTTAAGCTTAGCTAGCATGTAATAATTGCTAAAAAGTGGTTGCAGTACAAAATATCATACTTCAATGAGCTGAACCACATGAGGAAAACTATGAGGGGCTACAACATATGAAGTTTCTGCTTTTGGGGCTCAGATATATTTTTCCCTATATTGTTATATAACATCTACAACATATTGAACGCAATACAATTACAGAACCTGGAAATGCAATCTATAATGCTCTGGTCACAGACAACCAAACCTAACATGACCGGAATGACAATCCATAATGCACATATCAAAAATCCTCTTTTTGTACTCATTTTCAAGAAAATAATAACTAAAGAGTTCTCTTTCTCTCTCGATGTCTTAAAGAAGTTGACAATTATTCTCAACCGTCTCCACAATTTGTACCACAGTTGAATAGTTTATATTGCATGCAAATTCCTAAAAAATTCCTAAAAAATTCAAAATTTGTACTAAAAATACAAAACTAAAAACAAAAAGAAAGATGAAATCTTACATCTAGGCGTGAGATTTTCTCCAAGATTGAAAACATAGTGACCATCCCTATCATCTGCAAGCAAAGGAGGTGACGCCCCTCGTCGTTCGCCCTACAAGAATCCAACTTTCCTTCAGAATCAAGGGATATCAAAATCCACTAATGCATATTAATGAAAAAACTCATCTGTTATGTTATGATTTTATAAGCCATCTAAAAGCTCAAGAAATGGACGACAACATACCCTCAAGGTATGTTATGATTTTATAAGCCATCTAAAAGCTCAAGAAATGGACCTCAAGGTACCGCATGCTTGCAGCTTGTCCATAAGCTGCAAAACTAAGTGTATTACTTCCAATAAATCGGCAAGGTAACTGAAAGTTGAAAAACAAATTCCCAATAAGATAATCAGTTGTAAGAATAAAAAATGTAAATTCTACTAAGCAACCAACAATACTCAGACGCACGCATGTAGCTCTAAAATAAAGTTAAGTAAAATGATAATGAAATAAAAACCATTACCAAAAGAACACAATTCAAGCATTTATTTAACTAGATTAACTCCATGTATTTATCTTATTACCACTGGGATACGCTGTAACAGTTTATTAGCATATGCAACTTTATTTTCACGCCGAAGCCTTTATGAAGCACATTGACACATTGACATCATAATAAACATATGACAACACAGATGGAGACAAGCTTTGCAATACGTATATTAGTTAGAAAGAGATTTTGACAATGAGGAACACAAAAAAAGAAATTACCTAGTTCTCAGTTCTCTGGTTTTTTTTTAAATGGTCAGGTTTGTAACAATTCGCTGCAGATAACTCGGCAATTAACATACATCCAACTCATTCCTCATATGCTTGCTCAAACATCCTCACCTAGTACAATTAACAAGGAAGTGGTATCCCTAAGAACTAAACAAATCCATGAAATAATCTTCAAAAGAACAACATCAGTCTTTGAACATTCACACTGAAGGCGTAATTTTACTTTAAGATATCTAACTAAGAGATCAAGTAACTATAATATCTGGGTAACAATTCACAACAAAGAGATTATATTTCACGCACCTTCTTTCCAGGTCTCACAAGCCTCAGGGCAACCTCTGCAGCAGTGTTGGCTGCTGTAATCATATCCGCTGCTCTCCCAGTCACATGTCCTTCTTGAAGTACATGTGTGCAACAATCGCAATAAAACCATCTATATGACACCCTCATGTCACTACAATCGAAAAGAAGCTATAAATATTATTACAATCCTAATAAACTTTTCAAATTAAGAAATGGTAGACCCCTAAGAAATGGCAGAAGAAAAAAAAGCGTCGTAAAAAATAGATCTTTTAGCGACACAAAGCTGGTCGTCGTGAAAAAGAGACTTTTAGCGACGCTAACCTAACACGTAGCGATAAATGCACACTATTAGCGACTCCAACCCTAAAACGTCGCTAAAAATATATATTTCCTGATAAAAATAAAAAACGTCGTGAAATCCATACACTTTCAACGACGCTAAGTTAAAACGTCACAAAATAATATACACTTTTAGCGACACTAATTATAAACGTAGGGGAAAATATGTGTTTTGCCGACGCTAACTAAAATTGTCGGGAAAAACATAATTTTTAGCGACGTATTTAACCAATCCTCGGGAATAAACGTTGGGAAAAGTGCAATTTCTTGTAGTGTATATAGTCGACTAATCAACCTGAGATACATATATAATTCTATAAAACAAATTTATGTGATTATATATGAACTTATATATCTTCTAGTTGATTAACCTATCATATTAAAGTTAAACCCAAAGACTAAATTGGTCTTTAGTCTGATAAAATCAAAGGGGTCAACCCCATGTGTGTGTGTATGAGTGTGTATCAAGGCTTTTAGCAAAAAATCTAAAACTAAAGAGAAAAATTATATCAATCCTCACATGATTTTGAATGAAGCACTTGATAATAACTCCATCTTCATCTTAGATCTTTGATTTTGTCTTTGCCTTGACTTTGTGCTGCTGCATCAAATATGTTAGTCAATTTGCCTTTGTTATCATCAAAACATATAGAAATCTAACACCCCCCAACAAATTATTCTATCTGTTGTCATCAAATGTACCGTGTCGTTAGCAAAATGGCAATGATAAGTATTTGTGATCACACCTTTTGTTTGTCATTCTTCCTCCTCAAAGGCTCTCAATGCTTAAATCGTTGATCTCTCTCTCTTCTTTGTCTTTGTATCAGTGTTAACACTGCCTCGAAAATAATCGTTCAGAAAAAAATTTCCTTTTCACCCCCAAAAAGAAATGGTAATTTTCTGTAACACCATAATAGTTCATTGGGTGTAACTTCTATTAACCTTAATATTTGGGGACCATGAGATACATTAGAGTCGTACCTTAATAAGCATAGGATTATCTGCAGTCAAAGTAACATATGTGAGATATGGACCACCAATCATCCTTGCAAATGAGAATATGAAGGCAAATAGAACCTGCATCATTAAAAGAAATGAGTCATCAGTTTTGCTCTTGTTCATTTAATTTTCAATCAAAATCCCATCATTTGAAAATGATTGACAAAAGGGTGGCCATCATCCTAGAATGCTCCAATTTGCATATAAACACTCCTTTTTTTTGTAAAAGATTAGTATATATATGAAGTGCATATTCATGTATTATATGTAAGAGAAAAATAAAATCTCAAGACTTCTAAAGATTTTTTTTAAGAAGATCAGTATATGAAGTACATATTCATGTATTATGTGCAAGAGAAAAATAAAATGTCAAGACTTCTATGCTCAAAATAAGTAATGATACAGGGTAAGGCTTTACTATTTTTATCAATTTCTTTTTTTTTTCCTTCCCTTCTCTCTGGAGAAATTCCTTCTTTATGACATTACCGAGGATCAGCATGTTTAAGTGAACATTACTACAAAAATAAATATATAAATCTCCAACATGTTAATGAGAAATCATGCTAAATAATACAAAGCCATTGAAAACTAGATTTCTTAAAACTCACATCAACTGCTAAATTGAGATCAGTATCATGATAACCTATCTCTTTCAGAAGCTCTCTCATATGTAGAAAAGGGCTAGAGATCTCAGTTATCCACAAAGCGGCAACCATCTCTGATCCACACTGCAAATGCAAACCAATAAACTAATATCAAAATAAAACTTAATATAAAAAACAAATATCAGAAATTGTTCACTAATATCCTTCACCTTTTAATGTGCAAGTCCTGCTCCAATACCAACTATAGTAACAAGATCATATATCATATATGCTATCATCACTGCTAAAGTTTTCATCTATAAAATCTTACACAAGAAAGTTAATGAAAATTTCAAACAAATATATAAGGAGGGGAAAAACATACATGATACTAATACCTGCCATGGTGAAGATTTTGATGCTAAAGGACATACAGGACATCTCCAGTCTTGAACAGAGAGAGAAGCTAAACAGACACCAAATATTGCATGAATTGGGACATACAGGACATCTCCAGTCTTGAACAGAGAGAGAAGCTAAACAGACACCAAATATTGCATGAATTGTGGACACAATTCTATTGCAAAAATCAAACAGAGAGAGAAGCTAAACAGACACCAAATATTGCATGAATTGTGGACACAATTCTATTGCAAAAATCAAAAGATCGATGAGAAAATATTTTTCTGATAATAATGAAGGTTGTTGCCCAACAAATTGTTGCGGAAATAATCAATTTGATGATATAATATTCCATTTGATGTAATATAGATAAATTTCAGAATATTTGATTCCTCTCCCTTCCAATATGTGTAAGGGCATTTGAAGGTTTGCTTCATAAATTCATGTAGTTGTTATGATTGAAGTTGGTTAAGAAAATCAATGTGGATAAGGCCCATATTGAATCAAAGCAAAACCTTCTGATTCAAGCCATAAATTTCGCTGTGTATACAATATCTACGGGATGTGGATAACAAATATAAATTCGGTATAGCCGAATATTCGATCTCTCCTTCTTATTCAAAGTAAATATCCAATCTTGCTAGCTTACTTATCTATCCATCATCAGCGACAAAAAGAACAGCCAAAATCATCCCCAGACAGTAATCTTACATTAAATTCAAAAAAAAACACCTATAAAAGTCAAAACTTGTACACAAGTAGATGTGGCTGAGCCCTTTATTGCAGCAGTTTAACTAGTATTAACTGTATTATAGCATTTTAAATCACATTATAGCACTTCATCATACTTGATAACATATTCATACAGATTCTGGGTCTAAAAATAAATCAGTGTAAAAGAATGGGTTCTAAAAATCAATAAACCCTAAAAACGAAAACTTCTTCACTTTCCTCAGAAATCCCATCACTTAAATCCTCTCCTTCACAAGAACGCACGGTCTCAAACTGATCCACCCTCAACTTCTTGGTAATCCACCCAACCACGAAGTAAATATGCTTGATTTTCTACTAGTGAAGAATGCATAAGTAAAAACTTGACAGTCAATTAATATATACTAGAGAAATGTTGTATTTGATTTAATTTCCGGACACCATGTTTTGTCTTAACCCCTTAATTCCAAGGGCAAAAGACAGGCTGTTGGATATGAATAATATTAAGTATACGTCCCTATGTTTGCAACTCTTTAATTTTTAGTCGTGGTTGATAAAATATTTACTTTCAATATAAATAAACAAAGACTATTACATATCTAAAAGTATTACGGTAGAACTATGTAATATTATTACCACGCAGAGTAGTTACGACATATTTGATGTGATTACAATTCATAAAACAACCATATTTACATAAAACATAAATGACTTAATGCATGTGCTAAAATGAAGCTTAACTATATAAGTAGTAATGGAATTAAATGTCTGAGAAAAGAACAACAAGTTTCGAAGGGGTTCTTTAAGTATATAGATTATAATAATCATATTAGCTATCAGATCATGTTATGCATAAAAATATGGCTAACAAGCACTTAAATATCCTATAGTTTCTCTAAAAACCCCACTCCCCCACCCCTTTCAACCCAACCCCAAACTACCCCCCAATAAAAAGAAAATCCTTGGACGATTATCAGAAAATTACCCTTAAATTTAGGAGTCATCAGGAAACCCCTTTAAATTTAAGGTTTTACCATAAAACCCCCCTAACAACATTATCCTAAGTTTCTAATGGACGAAAATACCCCAAAGTAAGGTTTTTAGACCTCACCTATATATTCATTTCAAACCAGCAATACTAGTTTCATCTTAAAATTAAAGAAAAGAGGAAGATGGGAGAGAACTCAGCTGAAAAGCAATGAGTCATCGACCTTGAAGGGCTCCAAAGTATCAACTCTGAGACCGAGATAGAGAAACGAAAGAAAGCATTGCATCTACAGGGTGCCGAACATCATGAGAGAGCTCAACGACAAGGCCTACACATCCCAGCTCATTTCTTTAGGGCCTTACCACTACGGCAAGGCCCACCTCACGCCTATGGAGTGCAACAAGCACGCGGCTCTCATCCACTACCTTGAGTGGGCCAATAAGACTCTTGGCAAAGTGAGGGAGTCCATGAGGCCTCAAATCCAGGACCTCATGGACGCGTACGATAGCCTAGAGGAGCCGTGGACGGACAAGGACCGGTTCTTGGATCTGATGATCCTTGACGGATGCTTCTTTCTTAAAATGATGGTGTGGGGCAATGCCGAGCTCTGGAGGCGATACATGAATCATGGCCTGTGGATGGACATGCGTAGGATTGAAAATCAGTTGTCGCCCCTGTTTCTTGTTATCTTGATTGAAATTGGAAGTCACGAGGTAACCTGGTCACCTCCTGCAAACTGATCTTTATCATTTTTTGCGACTTTGACTCTTGATTCAGTTGAGATAAGTTTAGTCCTTGAGACTGATCTTCTCCTTGGCTTGTAATGGTCGTTATTCTCTATAGGAAGTCCAAAACATATTTCAATGAATTGCACTGATTTTTTAGAATATGAAACAAAAATGAAAACATGATGTTATAGTAGAATTGGACATTTACTTGTGCTAAGAGCTAACAAATGACTGATCAGCAGGTTGAGGATTTCAAGAACTTCATAAGAAATTGTGACGAAATTCCCGACACCGAACTGAAAACCATTAGAGGAAAGGGTCGGCACTTGCTCGACATTTCAAAAAGGAAAATGACTGCAGAAGGGAACTGCATTCACGACCACGACTCGACTGTCCGCACCGCCACAGAGCTCTTCCAAGCGGGGGTGAGTTTCAAGCAAGCTGACAGCATCATCAGCTTCACAAACGGAGTCCTGAAGCTCCCTCATCTATGCTGCCATAGTAACACCAAGAACATGTTCCTCAATTACACTGCCTACGAGCATATACACAAAGGTACGGACAGTGCAGTGAGTAACTGTCTTATTTATGGATAATATCATCGACACAGACAAAGATGTGGCGCTGCTCAGGAAGGCAAATGTAAAGTTTTGCACGACTGAAAGTGATAGCGAAATCGCTTCCCTCTTCAATCGCTTCATCAAGGGATTGCCTCTCTTGGATAAGATTCATGTCCACAGTGAGAATGTGAACATTACTGCAATAAGAGGTGGCATAGGTAGGGTGCAATTTTTTTTCCAGACTTACCTTAGCAATCCTTGAGTTTTCATCTCGCTTTTGGCAGCATTTGCTCTCTTGGTTCTAACCGTTATCCAGACAACATACACAATCATGCCTTTCTACAAAAGCTCTCGATCTAGTAGGATCTTGTATGATTCTACATCTATATATCTAGAATCATACAAGATCCTACTAAATCAAGAGCTTTTGTAGAAAGACATGATTGTTTGTGTTGTCTGGATAACGGTTAAAACCAAGAGGACAAATGCCGCCAAAAACGAGATGAAAACCCAAGGATTGCTAAGGTAAGTATGGATAAAAATTGTACTCCACTTATGCCACCTCCTATTGCAGTAATGTTCACATTTGGACATGGATCTTATCCAAGAGAGGCAATCCCTTGGTGAGGCGATTGAAGAGGGAAGCGATTTCGCTATCACTTCCAGTCGTGCAAAACATTACCTTTGCCTTCCTCAACAGCGCCACATCTTTGTCTGTGTGAATGATATTATCCATAAATAAGACAGTTACTCACTGCACTGTCCGTACCTTTGTGTATATGCTCGTAGGCAGTGTAATTGAGGAACATGTTCTCGGTGTTACTGTAGCAGTATAGATGAGGGAGCTTCAGGACTCCGTTTATGAAGCTGATGTCGCTGTAACAGACGTTGTTAGCTTGTTTGAAGCCCTCCCCCACCTGGAAGAGCTCTGTGGCGTTGCGGACAATCAAGTCACAGTCGTGGATGTAGTTCCTTTCCACAGTCATTTTCTTTTTTTGAAATGTCGAGTAAGTGTCGGCCATTTCCTCTAATGGTTTTCAGTTCGGTGTAGGGGATTTCGTCATAATTTCTTATGAAGTCTTGAAATCCTCAACCTGCTGATCAGTCATTAGTTAGCTCTTAGCACAAGTAAAGGTCTAATTCTACTACAACGTCATGCTTTCATTTTTGTTTCATATTCTAAAGAATAAGTGCAATTCATTGAAATATGTTTTGGATTTCCTACAAAGAATAACGACCATTACAAGCCATGGAGAAGATCAGTCCGAAGGACTAAACATATCTAAATTGAATCAAGAGTCAAAGTTGCAAAAAATAATAAAGATCGGTTTGCAGGAGGTGATCAGGTTACCTCGTGACCTCCAATTTCAATCAAAATAACAAGAAACAGGGGCGACAACTAATTTGCAATCTTACGCATGTCCATCCACAGGCCACGATTCATGTATCGCCTCCAGAGCTCGTCATTGTCCCACACCATCATTTCAAGAAAGAAGCATCCGTCAAGGATCATCAGATCCAAGAACCGGTCCTTGTCCGTCCACGGCTCTTCCAGGCTATCGTACGCGTCCATGAGGTCCAGGATTTGAGGCCTCATGGACTCCCTCACTTTGCCGAGAGTCTTATTGGCCCACTCAAGGTAGTGGACGAGAGCCGCGTACTTGTTGCGCTCCATGGGCTTGAGGCGGGCCTTGTCGTGGTGGTAAGGCCCAAAATAGACGAGTTGGGGTGTGTAGGCCTTGTTGTTGAGCTCTCTCATGATGTTCGGCACCCTGTAGATGCAATGCTTCTTTCGTTTCTCTATCTCGGTCTCAGAGTTAATACTTTGGAGCTCTTCAAGGTCGATGACCTATTGCTTTTCAGCTGAGTTCTCTCCCATCTTCCTCTTCTCTTTAATTTTAAGATGAAACTGGTTTTGCTGGTTAGAAATGAATATAGAGGTGAGGTCCGACCCATTGAAAACCATTTTTCAATGGGTAAGGGTGGCAAATGGGTCGGGTTGGGTCATAGTTGACCGACCCGTATAAGTGTGACCCGACCTGACCCGTTTAATAAATGGGTCAATGCGATCAGACCCGTTTATTAAACGGGTTACACGACCCGACCCATATAACCCAGTTCTTGAATTTGCAGATATCCTCCAGTGAAAGAAAAGAATTTGCATAATCTAAGATGCAAATTATTACACCCCCTTAAATCCAAGCAATTATTACACAGGAAAGAGCAGATAGAGCTCAGCAACAAGTTCAGTCTAATTTGTATTCGTACACTAGGGGAAGCAAAACATTTAAACCTGGCTGATTACGGAGAATTCTGCGAATCAAACCCGAATCTAACCAGGGTTGTACCTAGGAATTTTGGGGCCAAAGGCAAAATATTAGATGAAGCCTAAGTGATATAACTCATAATAGATTTTATCTCATTCTTCTTACCTTTTGAACTATAAAATTACTAATTAAAGTTTTATATTCAATATTTTCCAACATATTATTTTCGATAGATAATATTGCTAAACCATTCAATCTATCTTGTAGGTCGATCTTAAATAAGATTTAGTAATTTTTCTAACAAATTTATCAAGAGCTCTTTGTTAAGATCGAATTAATTTTTCAACTCTTTTTCTTTTTTTAAATTTTTGATAACCACTTTCATATTTTTATTAGGCATGCTTTCAAAATATAAAATAGCAAATAAAAAGCTTTCAATGTATATCTACAATATCTCTAATTAAGCATAAAATTAATATGAATAAATGATAAGGAAAATTAAATAGCTTTAGTTAGAAAGATAGAATCGTTGAGGTTGACATTTGGTGGCGTCGTGGCTGCGAGAGAAGCGGGATTGGATTCGCTATTCAGCCTCTTGGTTACAAGAATCAAATAATAGAACTCCAGAAACTTAATACAACCTAACAAAAAACCACAAACATCACCAATTTCGTCAATCAAAATTTTTTGGGAAACTCTAAGAATCGAGTACCGGCGATGCCGTAGACTTTCCCCCCAAAACAATATAACCTAGTTATCGGATCTTATGATTTACTTAGATAAAAGAGTTTAGGATATCGTATGCTGAGGTCTTGATCTTCCTGAATGATAAAACTCGTAAATATCACCTGAAGAAAGAACATGGAAACAACTCAGCATTTGTGACAGTTCTGAATGATAAAACTCGTAAATATCACCTGAAGAAAGAACATGGAAACAACTCAGCATTTGTGACAGTTAAGTGATAACTATAAACGCAAGTGTTAACATATGGTCACAATCTAATTTTCTTATTCAGGAAAAAAAACTGTACAAACCAGAGAATGGATGCATCCGATGGCTACGTGCAGAATGAAAATTACGAAGGGCTTATAGTTCATATAACCCACACAATTCCTCCATGAAGAAACATCAAGATCCAAAATTTGACCACGAATCACATATAAGAACACAAAAAATGAGAAAAAATCATGAATTCAAAAGAGTTAAAGCTTACACTTTTCTGGGGATCTTCAGAATCCGGAGCAAAAGACAGGATCCGTGAGTGCTCCGATCGATCGATCTTGAGAACGCGGTAGCGTTGCTTGTATTGATCGCTGCCGATGAGACAGAATCGCTGCGATGAGCGAAAAAATTAGTCCAAGGAGAGAAGATTTAGGGATTGGGGGATTTGAGAGTCTGAGACAGAGAGAGAGTACTGCAGGCGGCTGGGGATTTGAGATAGAGAGAGAGAAATAAGGTTAGGGTTTAAGGGTGGGTAAGTCTTACCTAGCATGAGGCCCAAGGCAGAGGCCTTAGCTACCTTATAGGGCCGGCCCTGAGTTCTTCCGCATAATTCATATTCATTATGCCTTAACTATCTTCTAAGTTTTTGAGTATAGCTCCTTCACATAATTTATACTAGTATTTAGACCCGTGCAAAGCACGATTTCTAAAAGATTTTCTGTAAATATTGAACATGTTACCAAAATAAAGTATTATGCTTTAGATATGAAGTATAGGGGTGCTATTTGCTTTTTTTTATTCGTTCTTATATTCGATCAAGTTTGATTCAATATCATGACTAATAAAAAATTGAAAAAAGATATTTTGTAATTTATCTTCAACCTCTTGATGCAAGTAAGAGAATAACATGACTAATAAAAATATTTCACTTCTCCTAACATAGTAGTGCATCAAAGATCATCAAAACATACCAAGGAAAATTGATTACAAAAGATATATCGTACCTTCAGTTTTCCATGCTGATGTTCATGTGAAATGAACAGAGAAAATTAGACCCTGTATTTCTACCCAAAAAACAGAAATAAGATTTAGTTAGTAACATAATTGTACTTCTAATTTCAATATATATAATGTAGATTGCTTTATTATTATAGTATACAACTTTGATGAATAAATTTTAAAATAAATTTCAACCAAACCACACACAGATCAGTCACCTACAATAATACTATACAACATTGATGAATAGTTTTTTAAATAAAGTTCAAAACTTTACACGTGCTTTTGTTGCAAATATATATACTAACTAATACTCAAAATTTAAAAGGACCAAAGTAACAAAATTAACATAGAATCAAAACATTATTTGAGAACATTGATTACTTTACCAATTGAAAGAAAGAACAAAATAATTGAAAAAAGAGAGAAAGAAAGAAAGAAGTTTACCAATCTTCAGCATGGTGTCCCTTCAAGAAGTAATTCTTTTAGGATATAAGAACATTGAGATTATCCTACTTTCAGAAAAAAATGAAAGAAAGAAATAATGATCAAAATATCAGATTGATTATTATAACTATACATCAAGTTAGATGTATAAATTGCTACATGAGAGACATGGAAGCTCATTATCTTTCACAATTGAAGGCAAACTATGAAACTATCATAAGATAAAAGTAAGAAGATATAATCTTAACTTACTGAAAATTGCACTTCTAAAGAATAATAACTATTAGTCCATGTCATAATTCAAGAATATCTTATTAGAACTATTGTATCCAATAAGGTACGTCTGAATAATAACAATGATCTCTATGTATCCTTCCAGCACCTGATTGATCGCAACCTACCTTAGATTTACACTTGATAATGGGGATACATAAACTTGCAATTAGTATGCATTCTTTTTAACTTTCTGTTCTACATTTATTTTTGTTAAAAGGTTTATTTTGGTCAATCAAAGTGGTTAATATATCATGCAAGATTTTCATGTCCTTGAATTATTAACTTATTTTGCCAAAAAAGATGGAACCTGACATGACACAACTATCACAACTTATTCTTCACCTGATTACCAATAACCAATTAACCATCTTTTGAAATTCATCCCTTTCCTGCTGCAGATTTTCAATTTGAGCTTTGAACGCGGTGGTAGCTTTAGCCTCCTGATCATGTCCAGCTTTAGAATGTACATGAAGCTGGAAATTTTAGAGTATGGAAAGTTTCACCATAATATAACTGACAAACAAACCTTTCGAGTTAAGGTGGCGAGCTCTCGGTCTTTAGAGGCACTGCATAAGACATATTTCTAAAATAGATAAATTAAGATTAAGATATATCAGAAGAAAAACAAACCTTTGCCTCTGATCATTAGCCGACTCCCTAAACTCAATATCCCTCTGCTTCTGCTGAAGTAAAGAATGTATGCAATTGCAAGTCCTTGCAATTGATTCCTACACCAATGAGCGAAAGAAAGAATATAGTAAGTTCGCAACTTTTAGTCTGTTTTGGGTAATTTTTTGTAGGTTGGCACTTGACAGTAACTAAAGCCTTAACAAAAATAAAAGTTTCTACTTTGGATGCAGCTTCATAACTTATGTCCAGTTCAACCCCTACTACCAACAAAATAACTATTCCATAATCTTAATTCTGAAAATAATATAAATTATAAAAACAATAAACCACAAATTTAAGTCAACTTCGTAAACTCCAAGCTTTCCTTCATTCACAATACTGCTTCCGCTTAGGGAAAAAGGAAAGTGACATATTCCCAATCGCAACTGGAATTTCTTAAAGAAGTGCTTTAATAGATCAAGATGAACCCGAAACCCTAAAACCACCAATATTCAAGCAAAAAATAAAAATTAATTCAAAATTCCGTAGCGAAAAAAAACGCAGACCCTTCAGATCGAGGTCGCTCACCGGATCCGTAGCAAACAGATCGAGCGAAGCAGGGAATCCGAAGGTCACCAGCGTCTGGTTCAAATACTTGGCACAATGCTCCAAGTTGCCGGCATCAGCGAACGTTTACCCGCTGCAAAAGGATCGAAACCAGATCAAATCCCTAGAAATCAAGAAAACCTAGATTTAGGCTAGAGACAAAAGCATTTCTTTGTCTGCTTGCATCTTTACTGTATATATGCAAAGGTCTAGAGGGTGGATTTAGGCTATCTTCGCTTTCGTCGCTCTCAATTTTTGATTTTTGATTTTTTTTTGATTTTCTGAATCTTTTTCTGAAGATTGAGAGAGGAAGAGAGAGGACCGTGGGTTGTAAAAAGGGCAGTTTGGAAACGTTTTCAAGGAGAACGTGAGTTGCGGAAGTGGGAAGTTTTTTTCAAGGAGAACGTGAGTTGCGGAAGTGGGAAGTTTTTTTCAAGGAGAACGTGAGTTGCGGAAGTGGGAAGTTTTTTTCAAGGAGAACGTGGGAGTACAGAGAGATATGTTGGGTTGGTTTATTGGTTTTATTATTTTTGAATGTTCACAATGGTTACTGTAGCATTATTACTGTAACTAATAATAAATTAAAATATTACTGTAGCATACGGGTAGACTGCAACATTCAAAGGATACTGTAGCAGAGCGGGTACTGTAGTACTTCCAGAAATTCAAAACATGTCATATTTAAAAAATGGGATTACTGTAGCAAAAAAAAATGCTGTGCTTTGCACGGACCGCAAACTAGTTTTGTTTTATGTAAGGAACGAAACAACTGTTGACTCTTGCATATACTTTAGTCACTACAGTGGATGTGGGGCCCAAAAAGATAATCTAAAATGAGGACCCTAAAGGAGTTCAAGTAAGCTTAGGGCTCATTTGGTTGTATGTTTTTACCACTTAAAAGGATGGAAAGTGTAAAAAAGTGGGTCCCAATGTCAGCTTTCACCACTTTCAATTGTTTGTTTATAGTTGTGAAAATAGTGTAAAGTGATTTCATATGCTGATGTGGCTTGTAAAGTGATTTCATAAAAAAAGACATGATTTTAGGAGAAAGCTGACATTGAAGTCTGGAAAAAATAATTCCAACCAATATGACCATTTGAGTAGTGATCACTTTTTACACTTTCCAAACAAACAATTAAAGTTTCATTTTGCAAACCAAACAAGTGTTTTATGATTCCAATGGAATCAAAAACAAACAAAGAAAATTATAAAAGTGAAATTGATGAGGTGGACAACAACTTTCCAAGTTGTGTCATAAATACACAACTTTACCAACAACAACCAAACAGCCCCTTAAGAGCTAATCAATAGATAATTGGGAGTTTTGGGAATGATGATTATTTTTTTTCTTCATTTCCCAACACTGCATTAAAATCTCCACTAAGAAGCCAAGGTGAATTACCAACCGCTTGATGAACCTGGTACAAATCTAACCAAAGCTCTTTTCTCATCTCCATATGATTAAAACCATAAATTGAAGAGATATAACAGTCCAGCCTTCCATCAGTAGAACAAACTTTGCAAGTGACATGTTGGGCTGAGAAACAAGAAATTTGTAAATCCAGAATATTAGGATCCCATAGCATCAAAATCCTAGCAGTGCCTGAACTGTTTACATTTGGGAACCATCTCCAGTTGGCTGCAATTTTTTTTGTTATTACAGGCAGTTTACCTTCCTTGATTTTGGTTTCCAGTAGAGCAACAAAATACATATGGTATTGATGAATGTGCTGCTTAACTAGATGTTGTTTAGAGGATTTATTTAATCCCCTAGCATTCTAAAAGGATAGATTCATTTTGTCAGACCCCCTCTATCTATAGTAGATCGAGGGATCCATTTCACTAGTCAAGTTCAAAAGAGGAGAAAAAAATATTTGCTGGTCCTTTGCTTTTACTCCCACGAACTTGGATCCAAGGTCTTTGAATGGGATCCTTGCCTCTATTATTCACAGGATCAGGAGATTGGACATGCACAACATGCACATCACTTTGAATAGGATCCTTGTCTTTATTTCTCAAAGGAACAGGAGACTGGACATGCACAACATGCACAATACTTTGGTCTGAAGAGTTGTTTTGTACCAAATCTTTTGAAGATGTTTGAGATGAAACAGATATCACACCATTTCCCATATTTCCAGAGTTCAAATCTTCTGAAATAAGATTTTCCGGAGCATTACTATCCTGTTCATTTCCCTGACCAGCTTGATTTACTACTTCTTTTTGTTTTGGATTCCACCTCTGTATTGTAGGATGCTTTTTACAAATTTTAGTGTCATGTCCAACATTCTTACAATATTCACACCATCTTGGTTTGAATTCATATATCACTTTCTGATAGTGTCATGTCCAACATTCTTACAATATTCACACCATCTTGGTTTGAATTCATATATCACTTTCTGAGCATATTGTAAACCATCAATTCTTACAATATTCACACCATCTTGGTTTGAATTCATATATCACTTTCTGAGCATATTGTAAACCATCAGGTCCCTATATAGAAATAGAATCTGGTAGAGTAGAAGGCAAGTCAACTTCAATTAAAACCCTTGCATATGCCAGTCTCTGCCTGTTGACAGTGAGTTTATTTGTGGCTATAGGACGTCCAATAGCACTTGCTATCTTGCTAATCCCCTTTGCATTCCAAAGATTTAATCTCAAACCAGGGAATTGGATCCACATAGGGTATGTACATTCATTAATCTTTTCAAAACCTTCAACAACTGACGAAGGTTTCAACAAGATAGGTCTTGATCCAAAAAACCAAACCATTTAAAAGGATTTCATTCATTTCCTCTTTGTTCTTGAATTTGAAGAGAAACACACCAGCTTTGAAAAGACATATCCAATTTTCAATTTGATAATTGTGAAGTATGATGAGGAGAGCCGATAATATACTTATAGCAATAGTACAAATTCACTATATGAGAGTAATTTAGACACAATTAAATACTTGGTTATTTATACAGAAAAATTCTCATCAATTTGGATATATAGAGTAATTTAATTAGAGAGAATAAAAGCTCGCTCCTTGATCTTCATCTTTGTAATTCTAATTTGTTTAATATCTCATTAATAAAACTTAATGCAAATATGCAATATCCATTACCGCACTCTGCACATAACTCATTTTTCTTCAAGAATAAAAGCACTGTCCTTGATCTTCACCTTTGTAGTTCTAATTAGTATAACACCTCATGAATAATACTTAATGCAAATATGCAATATCCATTACACCACCGTCTTCATAACTCCTCTTTCTTGAATCTCAAGTGACCAGGAGATTATAATTATAAGTACATATAGAGCATATAAATATAATTATTATTTATATTTACTATAGATTATTACAATATAATTATATATTACTAAAATATCATAAACAATTAAAGTAAATTACAATATTGAATTATGTTAAATAATTATTTGTAATTATGAAAAGTAATCGTATTAATATTAATTATATAATGTGATTCATTTACAAAAATTGGAATAGGTAAGAATTTTTTTTATAGTTATAATTGATCTTACAAGCCAGCAAAAAATTTCCATAATTGATTTGTAACAATTCATTTACATCATCAATTAATCGTAAAAAAAAGATATTAAGGTCACAGGCAACTACACAACCACATATTCAAACGTACATACTGAATTTATACCATCAAAAATTTCAAATTCAAATTATGATACCTATTGTCAATACTCAATAGTACAACACCACCATTGTATTTCTCATTTTACACGAGAGAACTGTACCGTTGGATCCTATTTGGTTACCAAAATGGTATAATATTTATTCGTTCTAAGTTTCTTCACAGTATTGAATCTCAACATCCATCTCCTACTCTTGGAATTGCTACCGTCCCTCCCAACTGATGGAAGCTTGAATTCCAACACCATTTACGTACCCAACCTAATGCATGATAGAGCAGCTCAATGCTATATATCTTCCATTATTTACAATTACACCTCGTTTGGTACGCGGGAATGAGGAGGAATGGAATGCAATTCCCACTTCCCATTCCCTTATACCAAACACACCTATATTTTAGATGTTGGAATGACCATTCCCTAGGAATGATCATTCCCACTATTTGTGGGAATGAGCATTCCAAGTGAGAAGATAAGGAATGATCATTCCCATTCAAGTGAGAATCAAAAACTAGTTAGGTATTTTTCAATTATATCCATATTAATAATAAAGAATGTTTGGGTGAGGCGCTATGCAAGTGGGCAATTTTAGATTGACAATTTAGGCTAGTATATCATTTTGCTATTTCGAAACTTATTATTTTAGTTGGTATTATTTTATGGATTTTTGCTATTATGAATTGAGTGATTTTGATACTTTATCAAATACGTTAATTTATATATCTAGAACTGTGGATTGTGGATATCATTCTTTTTTTTTTTGGACCTATGAAAGATACGACAATCTTTTTTTTATTTTTCTTTAATTTTTAAAACTAAGAAATAGCGAGTATTGTTTAAAAAATATAAACGAAACATACACCTGATGGATAACACGAGCTTTAGTATAACACATACCTAGATTAATATAACATATGCGTATATAAAATTATTTAGTTATTATCATTAATGTTTATTTTTTATCTTATTAAAAATCTATGTTGTTGTAAGGGCATTATTAGAAAATGAGATTTCATTCTCACTTGTGTACTAGTGATACCAAACATGGGAATGAGAATGAGATTTCCATTCTAGCTTCATTCTACGAACGCACCCAAACAAGAGAATGAGAATGACCATTCCATTCCCACATGCAATCCATTCCATTCCTTCTTCCATTCCATTCCCAAGTTTGTCCATTCCCGCGTACCAAACGAGGCGTTAGGGTTTAGGATAGACCCCCCCTGTACTATCCGCCATTTGCGGATTGACCCCGTTAACAATCAATTGTTTTTAACTTCTAAATGATCAAAACGCATTAGCATATTATGTTGGGACTTAATTTCTCGGACTTACAGTTCCATTTGAAAACGCTCTTTTAATGCAAATGCTTTTTTTGTGTTTTTTTTTTCTTTCAAAAAGCAACTGGCTGGGGTTAGGGCTAGGACTAGCTAGGGTTAGGGTTTGCAGCAACTACTTAATTAAAGGATTCTTTTTTTTATCTTAAAAAGGGAACGAGGGATATCTTCCCTTATCAATTACCAGATTAGGAAAATGAATCATGAATGGCACTGGAGTACGTTGATGGAGGCATGAGGTCACGCTCTCGACATGGGAAGTTCATGAGCAAACAAGAGTCACAAGACCCAAATTAAGGTAAAGAGTGTACTAGCTAGGTTGTTCATACAAGTCCCCCAGGGT